GAATCTATTCGAGAGAATTTAGCGTGGCACCTAGGCGATAAAATGAGAGAGAGTAGACTTAGGTGGGCTGGTCATGTGTGGCGTCGACCAAGTACAATACCATTAGGAGGTGCGAATTAGTTCAAGTGGAAGGGACTGAAAAGGGCAAAAGGTAGGCCCAAAAGGACGTGGTTGGAAGTAGTTTGAATGGATAGGGGAACTTATGGCTTCACTGAGATATGACCTTTAATAGAGCGGAATGGAGTACCAGAATTCATGTAGCGGACCCCAATTAATTGGATAAAGACTAAAATGATGGTGATGATGATTCTCGCATGTCAACTGGCCACATTGGTAGTTCATTGATCCTCGTGGGGGCTCTCTGGTCGAGGTCCTCACTTCGTTATCGCCCGGTCGGTTCACTCGATCTGTTCACCTCATCCAGGGAAATCTAGAATGGTATCATGAATGTTAATGATCCCACCAGTCATGGATCCTTGTTTCGTATATCATGAGGAACCCTTGGCACTAGCAGTGTATATGATTTGGGTACTGATTAGTGAAGAAAAATCATGTGCAGTTACTCGTTATTTGAATGTCAATGCCTGAAATCCCATATAAAACTTGCTTAAAAAGTGTTTACTTTCCTAAATAAGAGACTTTAATGGACATATATACATTTGATAAAAATGGTAAACACATTAAAGACAAGTCATCCCAAATTGGTATGCCTAAATAAAATGACATTTAATTGCATATATAAGTTACATAAAAAAAATACATTAAATGAAGTGATTATGAATGGGTAGTGGATATGAAGGAGATATCCATTCATCATTGATAACTTATATAAAAGTATCATATCTTGATATTCCAATTTAAAATTAAAATCTGTATGGGCTTATATTTTTTTGGACTCAATGATGAATGTATCAATCTTTGGAATCATATAATTATTTATAAAATATTTGTATTTTTATTTTTGTATAATTAAATTTCATTTTTTATTGTGCTAAGATAATGATTTTTTTTATAAAATAATATACTAAATTTAGTTACTTCAGATAAAATTTTCATAAGTTCTATATAGAAAAGTTCTACCCATTATCTCCTGGCAAAATTCCTTGCTGAAAATATATTGATAAAATATTTGCCGCTAAACACTTTATAGCCTACAAAGTTGGGAGCAAGGTTACTGCAATACCTGGCTTTCTACGTTTTGTTGCATGTGAACACTTGTCCCCTAGGCAGAAAAGTGATGATGGATTTAGTGAGAAATTTTCAGTTCAATTTCTTTATTTCCAAATTTCCAAATAGGATTGAGTTCTACATAGTTCCCGATGAAATTCTAGGGTTTAGATTCCTATGTTACTGGATTGCTCAGTGACAATTCATCATCATTGTCAAAGCCTTTTACCAACTAATTGGGGTCGACTATACGAATCCTAGTATGCTATTTTACTCTATTAAGGGTCATTCCCTCAGTGAGGCCATAAGTCTCGATATCGTTTCTCATTACTTTCAACCATGTCCTTTTGAGCTTACCTCTTGTCTTTTTTGAGCCTTTCACTTGAACTATAGGGAAAGAAAATAAATCAAGAAAAGACATAAAAAAAAGAGGGCGAAAGCCATAATCCAATGAAGTTATCATCATACAATGAAATGATGGGCATTGATGGAAGGACAATTGGCCCCAACTATGTTCCAATATAAAAAAAAAAAATTCACTTTTGCTACTTGTTCTGAAGGTGATGCGTCATTTAAACAAAACCTGGATGAAACCTAAGAAAAGCTGGTTAAAAGAACTGCAATTTCATAATGAGTGTGTGCATGTAACAAGTTTTGATTTGGTTGAATAAAGTTATTAAAGAGCAATGTCATAAAAAAACAACACATATACTTTCCATGAACGGTCGATGTTACAAAAAAAACAACATGTGTAGTTTGTATTAAAGAGTAATGTCATAAAAAAAATAACACATGCATTTTGCATGAAACAATGACACGTTTTGTAACAATAGTGGCAACTGGCAATTTTACTTCGGCAAACCCGAAAGTAAACCGGCTTCTTTTTTTTTATTATAATAAACAAGAGAACTCTTTCCATGCATGACACCATAAGGAGAGCATACAATCTTTACTATAGAATGAGAAAAATAGTATTTATAAGTGAGAGTTCACATTATTATTATTTGAGTTTATCAGCAACTTTGATGATGAGGTCTTTTACATAAATATTCAAGCAAGCATATCATTTTCAGTGAACAAGATGGACAAGAGGTATTTACTCTTAAATCATATATTCTTTTTTTTTTTTTCTGTGGGGGGTGGTGGGGAAGTTCAGCGGTAGGGTTCAAACTTGGGAAGCTATGTTGCAATTCTCAACACCTGAACCAATCAAGCCCAAGCATGAATCCTATTTACTCTTGAACATAGATACTATGATTACTTCTTGTGGTTGGTGGGTCTGTTCATATGAATTTACAATGAAAACCGTGTAGGATCACCACCTCACAATTTATGAGATCATGGTTCCATATCCCATGAGAAACTCTTGTCAATAACTTGGTGATTGCATTGGGAATTACATTTATAAAGGAGAATGGGGTGTAATTATTAGTTATTTAAATTGTTGCACAATGAAATCACATGTATATACTTGCTTGAAGAGTATCTAGTTGCCAAAATAGAAGGAGATTTTAATTGATATCAACGCGAGCTAAAAATGTTAAGTAGATTAAAGGCAAGTTATTGCAGTTCGGTACTAACTAAGTAAAAGGAGTTTTATTGCATATATAAGTTTTCAACAAAAGATAAATACAATACCAACAAATTGGGCCTTAGACATTTTCGTCTCTATTATTTCCTTTGATTTGAAAACCTAACCTCTGGTTTTCAATGGATTCAATTCTATCACATCAATGTTGTTTCCTCTGCTTATAGGTGATTTTTTTATGAGCTTTCAAGTCTATCTTGGTCAAGAAAAACCCCCAATCCTCCAGCTTTTGAGCTCTTTCATCATCCAATGAAATTGGGTCTTTGACATTTCTGCTATGTCCATTAAAGAATCCTTCCTTACGTGAATGGCGACTCTAAAAAGCCATGCATAGGCATTTGTTTGTGCTACCATTTTTTTCACTGCAGTTACATATGAAAGCTGAATCAATGGTTTTCATATCAATGGTGGCCCTCTTTGAGGTCTTTGAGAATGTGTAGTTTTAGGTTTCTAGGCTAGGTTCACCATTTCTCTTTGCAGGGAAGAGATTCGTGTTGAAATTTATTGAGATCCATTTGCCATTCCATGCAGGGTTTTCTGATTGGGGCCAGAAAGGCAGCATAAACACGACATCAATTGATCCATGCTCTCTCGCTCACTCTCTTGGTCTTATCTATTTCACCACATAGCATGTAGTTTCATCCTTTTCCAAAAAACACTGCTCCCTAAGCTATTTTTTCTCCCTAAACCTCTGCCAAACAACTACAAAATTAATGTTACAAAAGATATAGTAAGATTAGATGGAACTAAATGTCATCCAAACAGGCCCGAAGCCCATTGATATATGTATTTGTTTGAATTACTCCACACACACAAACACTGATGTGCATGTACATATGTATTTTTCATTAGTTGTTTAAGAGTGGTGATAGATTAAATTCAACATAAAATAATACAGGATTCCAGAAAAACATCATCATCATCATCAGAGCCTTTTTCCAACTATTTATGGTCGGTTACACGAATCCTGATAAGCTATTCTGCTATATCAAGGGCCGTACCTTTGGTGAAACTATAAGTCGCCATATCTGTTCTCACTACTTCCCAACCATAGTTACCGGGATCTCCTATTTTGTTTGGCGATCCCTTCTAGAATCTCGATTATGTCGCTCTTGGAACGGATCTCTATGGGATATCAAATTTTAAATTTTGGGATCTCGTACCCCAAAGATAAGGACCCCGATTCTTACTGTTAGGGATCTCGATCCCAACCTTAAAGACTAAGACAAATAAGGCTTGCTAATTAACAACGCAAATATTGCTTGCTTGCTATAAATAATGAGATCCCTACTTTAAAGAGTATACATAATCCTTGATTATCATACACTTTAAGGTTGGTAACAAGATCCCAAAAGGTCGGGATCAAGATCCCCAAAAGGTTGAAATCTCGTTCCCTAACGTTTGGGTATCTCAATCCCTAACATGTGCATTGTACGGACGACATTCGCAACCATAGGGATCTTTTAGCATTTCATGATCCCTCGTTCCCGATCCCTATCCTGGTACCATTCATATTCCCAATCCCAACAACTATACTTCCAACCATGTCCTTTTGAGCCTACCCCTTGCCCTTTTTGAGTCTTCCACTTGAACCAACTCCTACCTCCTAACAGGTGTTTTACTGAGTTTGCGCTACACATAGCCAGCCCACCTAAATCTACTTTCTCTCATTGTATTGCCCATTGGAGCGACACCAAAGATCTCCCGAATATATTCATTTTAAATTCTATCCCTTCTTGTTTTGCCACTCGTCCATCTCAATATCTTTATCTTAATTATACTCATCCTATGGGTATGTTGTTTTTTGGTCGTTCAACATTGCGCCTCATAAAGCAAAGCTAGTCTCACAATTGTCCTATAGAACTTCCACTTCAGTTTCATTGCTATGCGGTGTTCACATGAAACTACGGTCGCACATCTCCACTTCGCCCACCTAGCTCTAATACTATGTGCGATATTTTCCTCAATCTTTCTATTTTCCTGGAGTATCGACCCAAGATATCGAAAGTGCGTTCTTTTTGTCGTTTCAAAAAAATATGGCCAACCAAATTTAGGGGATGCCACAACACAACAATTTGGGACACAAGGATGTCAAGGATCATAATCATCATCATCATTCAAGCCTTATCCCAATTATTTGGGGTCGGCTACATGAATCCTATTTTTTCATTCTTATTTATCGAGGGCCATACCCTCAGTAAGACCAAAAGTCATCATATTTTTTTTCACTACTTCTATCCATGTC